AAGTCTCCATAACTTCCAGCTGTGAAAACAAGTGGGGATTGTGACTGAGTGATACTGAGGCTGCTGGAGTCCCAGGCAGTTCTCTTAAAGGGCCCACGTGTGGACTTACTCGGACACCCTCCCTCTAGCTCCAGCGCTGGGGCAGCAACTTGAAAGGCACAAGAGACATATGAGGAGGAACTGCATTGTCCAACATCACAGTGAGGGCTAGGGTGGGGTGGTGGTGGTGCACAGCTTTCTACCAGACAGAAGTGTTGGCAGAGTCCATTGTTCCTTTTCCAAGCCCTCCCCATACAGAGCCTGTCTTGGCACATGCTTCAGATTTCTCTAAAATCTCTCAAACAGGCAGCATCTAGCCTCAGCATGTCCCATACCTCTCGCTAAAAGGCCCCAGGCCCAGCACTGGCAGTGGCCAGCTTTGGTTTGCAGCTTGGCCTCACCTGGGCACTTCTAAGCCCAGCACACGCAGCAGCCATCTGCATATAACTTTGTAAGTTATGCACGGTGGCCCTGGCAGAACACAAGTGGCAGCTGACCTTGGCCTGCAACTTCCAGGATACCCCAGAGCCAGTGCACGTGGACAGCTTCTGACCACATTAAACATTGATGTGAGAATATCAAGGCTCACCTATAACAGGAGGGTATACACAGCCCACATAGGGAGTGCATCTTGATGCCCAACTTGGGTGACCAGGGAGGCTGTGCCACTAGACCAGCTGTGGGCAAACTACGGCCCGCGGGCCGGATACGGCCCGTTTGAAATGAATAAAACTAAAAAAAAAAAAAAAGACCATACCCTTTTATGTAATGATGTTTACTTTAAATTTATATTAGTTCACACAAACACTCCATCCATGCTTTAGTTCCAGCCCTCTGGTCCAGTTTAAGAGACCATTTGGCCCTTGAGTCAAAAAGTTTGCCCACCCCTGCACTAGACCCTACAGATCACCTACTACATTAAGCCACTCTACCAAGTCTGGGAGACATAGCAGCTCTACGTAACACATAGAAAAAAACACAGGGAGGCTGCCAAAATGAGGAGACAAAGAAGCATGTCCCAAATGAAAGAACAGAGCAGAAATCCAGAAAAAGAACAAAATGGAAACAAGCAATCTGCCAGATGCAGAGTTCAAAACACTGGTTATAAGGATGCTCAATGAAATTAGGGAAAGTGTAGAGGAACTTAGAACTTCAACAAAGAGATGAGAAACATAAAAACAGAAAAAACATAAAGAACCAGTCAGAAATGAAGAATACATGTACTGAAATGAAGAATACATTACAGGGAATCAATAGATTAGATGAAGCTAAGAATCAAATCAGTGATTTTGAATATATGGAAACAGGAATCACCCAATCAGCACAGCAAAAAGAAAAAAAGAATTAAAAAAGTGATAGTGTAAGGAGCCTCTGGGACAACATTCACATTATGGGGGTACCAGAAGGAGAAGAGAGCAAGGAATGGAAACCCTATGTGAAAAAATGAAAGAAAACTTCCCTAACCTGGTGGGGGAAATAGACATACAAATCCAGGAAGCTCAGAGTCCTGGACAAGATGAACCCAAATAGGTCCACACCAACACATCATAATTAAAATGCCAAAAGGTTAAAGACAAAAGTTAAAGCTGCAAGTAAAAGGAGTTACTTACAAGAGAGTGCCCATGACTGTCAGCTGATTTCTCAACAGAAACGTTGCAGGTCAGAAGGGAGTGGCAAGAAATGTTCGAAGTGATCAAAAGCAAGGACCTACAACCAAGATTATTCTACCCAGCAAAGTTATCATTTAGAATTGAAGGTTAGGTAGAGAGCTTCACAGACAAGATAAAGCTAAAGGATTTAACTGCCACCAAACCAGTATTATATGAAATGTTAAAGGGTCTTCTTTAAGAAGGGGAAAAATGAGAAAAACGATGAACAAAAAAGTGGCAATAAATACATATTCCTCAACAATTGAATCTAAAAATCAAACGAACAAGCAGAACTGAGAAATTTTGAGGGTTGTCAGACGGGAGGGGTGTTGGGGGGCTGGGTGAAAAATGTGAAAGGATTAAGATACACAAATTGGTTGTTATAGTATAGTCATGTGGAAAGAACAGAGCAAAACTCTGTTAAATTACAGCATTGGAAATACAGTCAATATTTTAATAACTATCTATGGTGTCAGATGGGTGCATGATTCATTGGGATGATCACTTAGTAAGCTATGTAATGGCCAATCACTAGGATGTACACCTGGAACTAATAATGTATGCCAACAGCAATTTAAAAATATAACATGATTTTTCAAAAGTATATTTCTTCTTTTCCAAATATACAGTCAACCTAGTAAATAGTCACAAGTCCTTTTGAGGAAGTTTAGAAGGGGGACCCAGCTTCCCTTTTATTTAGAGCAGCGGTTCTCAACCCGTGGGTTGCGACCCCTTTGGGGGTCGAACAACCCTTTCACAGGGGTCGCCTAAGACCATCGGAAAACACATATTATATATACATATTATATAATTACATTACATATTGTTTTTGTGATTAATCACTATGCTTTATGTTCAATTTGTAACAATGAAATTGGGGGTCACCACAACATGAGGAACTGGATTAAAGGGTCGCGCCATCAGGAAGGTTGAGAGCCACTGATTTAGAGGTTCTGTGACAGTGAATTGGCTCAAGCCTCAAAACTTTGGAGTTAACAGACTGGCTCAAGTCAGAATTCTGCTCACCAGATCTAGAGCTTTTCTATGCATACACATCTAGTAAAACATCAGAAGACTGCCATCTATTCAGTTCTAGTCAATTAGCTAAGGACAAAGGTGTCTACAGATAAGGGCCCCTCTTCAGAACTCCCAGAAGCCTTCTCTTTGCATGTTAATTGCATGCTCATAATTTTAATTCTTATGTATGCATTTGAGGGCCTATTGTTGCTAATTGCCAGAGCCTCTCCCTGGATTTCTCCATGACTTGCTTTTCCGTTACCTGCAGTTTATCCCATGGTACCACTAGCAGAAATTAGAATTACGATACTGTACTGTATACCATGGGTTACTTATGTCCCATATTCCCTGCCCCCTCTTCACCAATCCCCATAAGCTATCATTGATCTCATCAAATATTACCCAATCCCAGAATCTTAGTCTAAGAATCTATTTCCTGAGGTCACTTCTGGTCTCAATTACTGTCCGAGTCCCAACACAAAACAGAGGGGGATCTGAGGGCAGTTTATTCCCACATGCCCTATTTACAAAGGGAGATGTGCAGGAAAACCCAAGTGAGCGGAGGGGAAAAAGATCCCAAGGCAAAGAAATCCCCAGTACAGTCTGTAATTAGATTAAGTCTTGCACAGAGTGTGGCAAAAGTAGGTTTACAGTTGTTCATATGGAAATACAGTAATTAATCCTATCTAATAATAGACAAACATGGTAATTAACCGTAGCTCCAACATGCTTCCCATTGGCTCAACAGGGCAATATGCAAATTAACTGCCAACCAAGATGGCGGCTGGCAGCCAGGCAGCTGAGCTTGCTTGCTCCAGTGAAGGAGGAAGCCAAGGTTCCCCGCCTGCCGCTGCCGGCCTCTGAGCTGCAGTCTGTCTAAGAAACAATGTTGCAATTATAGAACCTAAACAAACCCCAGAAACCTGCTTTCAGCCAGGCAGGCTTCAGCCAGCAAGACCGCAACATTGTTTCAATTATAGAATCCAAACAAACCCAGATCCCTGCTTTCAGCAGCTGAGGTCTCAGAGCTGCAGCTGGGCTTCAGAGCTAAAGGTGAGCTAGATTCCCTGTCTGGGGGTTCCAAATCTGCTGTTGGTTTCTTTCACTGCTGACTAGAGATATACAGGGTGTCCCCCCAAAATGTATACACACTTTGAATACCTACTAATTCCAATGGTTTTAAGCATAAGAAACAACAATGGAACTGTTATCTGTTAAAAGTGTGGGCACAGGCAGTTGGACATTCCCTGAGGGGTCTCAGATTGGAGAGGATGAAGGCCAGACTGAGGGGCCCTTCCCTCCACCCCTACCCCAGTGCACGAATTACGTGCACCGGGCTACTAGTATATAAAAAATAAACTGTTTTTGCACCCTGGTCCGTTTGGTTGGGTGTCATCCCATGCACTGAAAAGTTGCTGGTTCAATTCCTGGTCAAGGCACAAACCCAGGTTGGGGCCTACCCCCCTTCCTCTCTAAAAAAAAAATGCTTGCCCCAGCCAGTTTGGCTCAGTGGATAGAGGGTTGGCCTGTGGACTGAGGGTCTCAGGTTCAATTCTGTTCAAGGACACATGCCCAGGTTGTGGGCTCATCCCCAGTGGGGGACTTTCAGAAGGCAGCCGATCAATGATTCTCATCATTGGTGTTTCTCTCTCCCCTTCTCTGAAATCAATTAAAAATATATTTAAAAAAATAAAAGTTTTGCCCTAGCCAGTTTGGCTTGGTGGATATAGTGTCTGCCTGTGGACTGAAGGGTCCCAGGTTTGATTCCGGTCAGGGGCACATGCCTGGGTTGTGGGCTCGATCCCCAGTAGGGGGTGTGTGGGAGGCAGCCGACCCATGATTCTCTCTCATCATTGAGGTTTCTGTCTATCTCTCCCTCTCCTTTCCTCTCTGAAATAAAAAATATATTTAAAAATTAAAAAAAAAAGTTTTGCCCCATGAAAGTATTTCTTTGGGGGCGGGGGTGTCGTATTTAGTTTTGTCTGAATTTCTCATTTAGGTCTTTTCTTCCCTCAGTGTTTTGTAGTTCTTAGCAAACAAATGACACTCATCGCTAGATTTATTCCTAAGTTTTGTGAGCATGTTTGTTACTGAAACACCTGGTAAGTTCTGGGAAGTGATGAGACTTTGTAGACCAACATCTTTTCTTTCCAAATGAAATGTGGATGCTGTACAGTGTCTAACTGGGCTGGATGAAGGCATCAGATTTTATTCAACGGGCTCCACACTGCCTCAGCTCAACAGGAATCACTGTAGCGCACAGCCTCCTGCTGAAGAACGCACCACACAGACAGCTGGAGTTCCAGTGGGCTTTATTGAGATACATTAACAAAAGCCAAGATTTTATCAACCATCTTTTCTGAACTTTATAACCTCAGCAGACTCTGGTCCACATGTGCACCTACAACATAACACCCCCCAACAAAAAGGAAGCCCCACTGGAACATTTGCCAATTAACAGAAGCCAATTGTCCCTTCCCCCAAATGTTTGCAAAATTTTGAGTCCCCACTGTTCATTTCTCAGTGGGACTGGCCCCTTGTGGCTAGGGACCATGAAATTAGACCCCATTTTCACTGAACAAAAATTTTCAGGTTTTAGTTTTGTTTCAAAAGGGAACAGTGACTTGGTTTCCTCCAGGCACCCCTGCCCCACAACCACTGGTTAAAACCCAGTAGCCTGTATCTTCATAACCCACCCTCCCCTCCCCTGCCCAGCATTGTCTACAGAGAATTTAAATACACTTCCGGTTGGAATCTGTCAGCTGTGGAGGGGCAGAGTCCATGCCAGGCTGGCTCCCTCTGACCTCATGAACTGCTATAGCCTTTGGACCCTTAACTCTTTACCCCAAGATGAGTTTTTAGGTCAGGAGTAGACTTTCTTTGGGAGCTTTAAAAACTATCTTTAAGGATATACAGTAGAACCACAAGCTCAATCAAGTTCACCAAAAAGTTGACTAACATCAACTCCCACTAGGCCTATAATTTTGTTTGACAAAGATATTTTGCCAGAAAATGATTTCACAATAACATTTTTTAAGATACATACAACGCTGAACAAAGTGACAAATTAAAATAACATGGCTTAATTCCCAAGAATTTACTTCATCTTTGTGTTACTCATCCATAAGGTCAGAGAGTGGCTAAAGGCAACTTCTGACGAGGCTAAGAGCTTCAAAGTGTTTCTAAATCCTCAGTGCAGACACCCTCCCTTTGGGGCAGTCACCTCCCTCCCACCCCTATAAAAAAAAAGAAAAAAAAATTAAGCCAAGTAATCAGAATGAGATGTTTGATTCCAACAGTTTACACTCCAGGCTTTGTGCCGAGTCGTCTGGTTCTAACCCAACCCAAGCATGATGGTATCAAACACAAAGCACACGGCAGAGGAAAGATGCTCCCATCTCATTCTGAAAACAAATACTGATAACCGCCCGCCCCCACCCCCCACCTTTGGGGCCCCCCGTATTATGGTGCGGGGCAAACTGGACAATTTAGAGACATATTTAGATTTCTCTCTCCTTTACTTCTTCCCATGGAAGATAATTTTGGAATTTAGTCCAATCCTAAAGGAAAAACAGGCCCAGAGGCAGCAAGGTGTGCAACGGTCCAGAACCATCACACAACCACATAACCACAGGCTAAACAATGGGCTGACGTTATTTAAGTATTAAAAAGAGGGAATAGTTTTCATCCAAATGAACCACTGGAAAAAATATCACCATGACTTAAAATAAACACCCTATACCGGAAGAACACGAAAACAACTTCCAATAGTAACAAATGCTCCTTATTGCGAAGGGGATTTAAAAAGAAAAAGAGACTAGGATTTGACCTAGTCTTAGAGCAGCGGTCGCCAACCTTTCGGACCTCACGGACCACTGGTTGGTGACCGCTGCCTTAGAGCATCTTTCCGTTTTACAATTCCTATTCAAGAGTCAAGCACCAAAACTGGACAGCTGCCCGCACAAGGCTGTGTCCAATCCTGGTGTCCCAGACAGTTTAAGTGCCACTCCTCATCCGAGGCTGTACTTCAGGAATACTTTCAATTAAACGTCTGTGCTTTAAGAGGGACCCACAGGCATGTGGCACCAAGCAGACAGTCTGAGGATGGCGGAGAGGACTGTGCTGTTTATAGTCACCCGCACTCTAGCGAGATATAAAACTGCATTTATAAGCTTTCTTGCTTTTCTTCTAGAATGATCCCTCTTATCTTGCCAGAGATGGGGAGGAAAGAGGGCTGCATCAGTACACAGAGACTATATATATATATATATATATATATATATATTTTTTGGTCAAAAGTTGATGCCTTTTAAACTCCCTCCCTCCACCCCTCCCTGGAAAAAAAGTTACTCCCTTAACTAGGGCTTGTACTTAGTTGCCAACAATGGCTGGTAGAAGAACCTATGTGGCGTGGATACCAAATAAATGAGCTTATTTTGGGGGGTTTGTACTGTGCAGCTCTTGCTAGTTTCTAAGGAGTTAGGGCTATGTCTGATCAGGAGGCATCTGCAGGATTTTGATCTTCAAGGAATTCTGGGTGAGTCACAAATCATTTTTGTTTAGAACTAGACAGAGTCAAAAAAGAAACTTTGAGTAACTGATTTCTTTATCCAGATGAGTTAAGCATGAAAACATAGGCAGGACTTGTACTATTTTAGGGCTCTGAAAAACAATGGAATATGGAAATCAAATAAAAAAATTTTTATTTTGCCTTTTTTTTTTTTAAACCCTAGATGCCTCCTGATTGACCTAGTACACTGGGTTAAAAGGGAATTAAAAACGTTTTTTAAAAAAAGTTCACTGGTTTTGATTCATCTCACTCCTTTTGCCTGGAGATCAGGCCAAACATCAAGCATGTTGGGAGGGGCACAATTTAATGCAACACTATTGACTGTAAAGCATTTGCCAGCAATTTACAATGCAAACATGACAATTCTCGTCACAAAGCTAAAGCATGGCAAGCAGCAGCTCTCAGGGTTGCCCGTTCCTGCAAGTTTACGTATCAAAGTGGGCAGAGGGCACACACTTACACAGTATAGGAAGTGACCCACAAAAATGAAGCCCCAGAACTGCTAGCCTCACCGAAGCTGGTACTGGCTAATATTGTGAAACGCAAAGTCACGCTTATACACATACTGCTCAATGCTGCCACTCAAGGGAGGTTCCACACTGCATGTAATTAATCTTTGTCCCCTTTTGCAGAGCTTAAAAAGTTTCTCAAACTTTAAAAAAGGGGAAAAAAGCACAGTAAGAGAGAGCCTTTCAAAAATAACCCCAGGAATGCCAGGTTTTTGAAGTTTCCTTGCTCCCTCTGGCAGGCCTCCCTCCTCTACAGATACTAGAGACAGTGTGGCAGCAAACAGTGAAGACTTCTGGGGCCCTTTCCCAGCACAGGGTCCCCACAGGAGTCCGCTTGCTACAGTAAGAGGTTAAAGTACTTTCTAGAATTTAGTGTTGCGGAAAACTGAGCCCCTCTCATCTTAGCTGCTCCCATAATCACTCTAATCCCCTTAATCCCAGCAACCTTCATCAAAAACAAACAAAATATATATATATATATGTATGTGTGTGTGTGTGTGTGTATATATATATATATATATATATATATATATATATATATATGAACGCAGAAAAAAACATATTTACAAAGTTTATACAAGTGTACACACCCAGTTTTCTATGGGACGCGCTTTGCCAGAGGAAAGAGGGTCAAGGCTGACAGGCTACACCTCGAGTGCCATAGCTGCGAATGGAGACGCACATGAACCAGTCTCTAGTGTTCCGTACAGAGCACAAAGGCTTGTCGTATGGCTCCTGCAATGACAGAGACGCTCTTTCCTTTGGGAGCAATGATGTTGCATTGACTCAGCCCAGAAGAAATTTTTACTTGGGATTGTGTGGTTGTTTCTTAAATACATGTATTTACAGTGCGGATGAACTGCAGTTGCATATCAACTCCTCCACTTAAAGAAAAAAAATGGTGTTTAACATTACTAATAGGTTTCATCTTTCAGCCCTGGGCTTGAGTACTGGGTAGAAAGGGAAGAGAGAGACTTCAACGTGAAACCAAAATGAAATAAAAAGTTTTAAAAAGAAATAAAAGGAAAGAATTACTATTGTTGATTCCTTGGGCTGTGTCTAGAAGATGATATTCTGAATGGTCTCATAGCATAAGGCACTTCGCACAAATAAGTAATAAGCTCTTCAGGCTTAAAAAACGGATGAGTCATCAGGGAGAAGTTGAAATGCACAAGAGTCAGCTGTTGGAGAATTCGGAAATAATAGACAAGCTTGTGTGTTCATCAAAATTCTTCTCTTTTTAGGGTTTCTCCCTTCTCTTCTTTCTCCTCCTTCCTTGTCCCCCCTTTTCCCCAGAAAACATTTTTAAAAATCCAGCAGTTAGTGCAACTAATGTTCAGTCAGCACACAGTGCAAACAAGTGGAACAAAAAAGGTAAATTCCTTCTTTTCAGCTTTTTTCTTTTCACCAGTTAAAAAAGAAAAAAATGTCTGAGTTCTTTTAAATCTTCATAGTTCCAAAATAAAAGATGAAAAACCCACAAGAGAAGAGCATCCCCCCCAAAATGATGTGTCACAGATCCAAGCAAGCCTTCTTTAGTTTGTCAAAGCCTAAAGAAAGAAGAAACCTAAAATTAACCTTTGTGAGAGCAGTATGAACTAGGGTATACAGGTTTTTACATCCCCATCCCAAATACTCTCTCTGTAACAGCGTCTACCCAACTCCTGCCTACTGTAGAGTCCATGCAGGATTAAGGAATGTCTGCCAGGCATTCTAGAGGCAGAATGAGAGTCTGATAATTTTGGCCTCAGCCAGCAGTCATTCATAATACTTAAAGGAACTACCTTACACAAACGTAATAAATAGCTTGCCAATATACTAACAAACATTGGCTAGTTTTATGTTTAAGAATTATTTGACATTTAAAATTTTTAAAAAATGAAAGTAATTTGAAAAATTTAAAAACAACAGGTAAAATGTTCACTGCTAATGTGGAACTCATCATCTCTCAAGTTAAATCATATTCTCCTCAGAAAAATTCCACAAGTCTGCTTTCCTTCATGTTGAGCCTTGCTTTGGGCATTTCTACCGGAGCCCAATAGTCACCACAAGATTAAATGAGAGGGTGCAGAAAACCAGAGTGGGCATTTAAAATGAGATAATTGCCCGTGGGTGTGACTCAGTGGTTGAATGTCAAACTAGGAACCAAGAGGTCATGGTTAAATTCCTGGTCAGGGCACATGCCCAGGTTGCGGGCTCGATCCCCAGTGGGGGTGCGTGTAGGAGGCAGCCAATCGATGATGTTTCTCTCTAGTTGAAGTTTCTCTCTCTCTACCCCCTCCTCTCCCTTCCTCTCTTTCCAAAATCAGTAAAACAGATTTTAAAATATATAAAATTTTAAAAAGACATAGTTATCCTCATTACACATTTGGCAATAAGGTATTGTAGGTAATGTAACCTGACTTACTGAGGCACCCATTTGAAATGAAGAGTGAATTCCAACAGAGATGACTGAACGATAAAGGAAAAGAGAACAGAAAATATTTTCACACCCGAAATTGCTGAAAAATATTCTCTTTGCTTTCATTATTTTTGAAGTCTGAATCTGTCTTGATACTGCTCATGGTATCACACTACTTAAAAAGACTGCATTCAAGAACAACACTTAAGGATTTTCTAATGAGACAGAACACAATTTCACCCAAGAGACAGCTGTTTTACTGTCATTTATGCTAAGTGTTTCACCGCCCTACATTGCTGTTACGTATGCTAGGGCATCTAATTGCCCCCACGAAAGAGGATCTTGATTGCTTTCCTTCCTTTAAATATTATGCTCACTTAGCTATTCTGTAGGTACACACATGCTTGTTATGGTTTATCATCTTCTACAGGCTCGCTGTGGTATTCCGCCACATATAGGCTCTTGTCAATGTTGCTTGGGATAGGTTTAATTTCTGTTCCCAGCTGCTCCTCAATACTTTTCAGGTTGAAGCGATCATCATATGTGATCAAGTTGATAGCTAAGCCAAGATGACCAAAGCGACCTAACAAAAAAAAAATTATTTTAATTAATTAAGAAATGAGTTAAATATTAGAATGCATGTGTAAGACTGTAAGCATCAAAATCATAAAGAGTTAATGTTTTTGTCAAGTGCCACTCTGGGTATAGGAAACTACTTTTCTACTCTCCTCATATTCACATTACTTCCCAAAGGTAGTACTCTATTTTACCTTTTTCAAAGGACAAACTAGATATTTGTGTCAAAAGTTGCCAAAATACCCATACTAAACAGTGGTTACAGATTGTACCAGAAAAGAAAAGTGAAGTTCTCCTTTGTTAATTTTACCTTAAATTATGCATATAGTAGTTAACTTTTTAAACTTTTCTTAATAAGTGTTCTAGAAGAACTAGAAATTAGTCTTAAACACTGAACAACTATATTAGTTTTAGTTCCCATTGCTACATCACTATTTCACACAAAACCCCACACAATTTAGTGACTAAACTTCTCAAAAAACAAAACAAAAAAACAACAAAAACGTCCACAAAGAGCATCTCCTGTCTTTCCTCACCTGATCTTCCAATGCGATGGAGATAGGTCTCTGCCAGCTTTGGGAAGTCAAAGTTTATTACCACATTCACAGCTTGTATATCAATACCTCGGGTAAACAAATCTTAAAAAACAATAACAAAAAAACCTCCATTATAACTTTCAATATTTAAGCAATTTTAAGCATTTAAACATGTGTCTTGGTACTGTAATACTATTTAACAAATATTTCTAGTATATCTTAAATGTATTCATTTCACTTAGTAATTCAAATGCATTTTCAAATTACTAGCATTACCTTTCATGCACATTATCACAAATAACTTTCTGGTCACAAGTTATCTTTGCCCAGTTCTACAAGAAAATTTTAGAAAATGGTCTAAGGTAATTGCAAATACAGGAAGAGACCAAGATAATCGGTAAACTCATAAAACAAATCTCAGGAATAACCAGTATTTTTATTTTCTTTAGCCTGTTTTTTGCTGAATTATTTATAATGTCTGAGGTAAGCTAATCCCAGTGACTATGCTAATTTAGGCTTTGAAAACTATAAAGAGAAACAACAACAGGCTAATAACTAGGTTTGCCTTCTTCTACCAGCTCCGCACTCCAACATAATAATCCATGATGGTCATAATAATATTTCAAAAATATTACTTTGAATCTGTAACTCCTTGCTTTAAATGACATTCGAGGTCCTCCTCTCTATGTTTTGGTCTTAACACATTGCGTACCGCATAGAAGTCTCTAAGACATACGCCAGGGACCGCACGTTTTTGGGCAAACTGCATGTTATTTAAATCATCATAATGCACTTTAGGTGTTGTTTTTCAATAATTGTAACATTTTTATTTACAAAAACAACTAAACAATTAAACAATTAAAGTTCCTAGTCCTTTTTTAACGTATGGTACTGTGTAAAACATTTTCCTCTATGAAGAGGGACCAAACAAAATTTACGTAAGTATCTAGATTCGCTCCTTTTCCATGGGCGGGAAACACGAGAACACTCGTGAGCGGTCCCTAACAGATGGCGCGCGAAACACGAGAAAGCTCCTGAGCGGTACGGAATGTGTTAACATACTTTTCTAACACATCTCAAAACTTCCTCTCTACCAAACTCATCCACTTACCCTTCCTTGAACATATCTCTCAGCCCTCTATACTTTTGACACCAGTCCCCTAACTTAAACTTATCTAGCTTATAAAGCCCATTAAAATTCCATCTATTCCATCTATTCTGACATAACCTCAGCTAGTTACTTCCCTCCCCTATGAAAATTTAGGATTACTTGCTACAGTTGACCCTTGAACAACATGAGGGTCAGGGGCACCTACCCCCGCAGTCGAAAATGTGTAACGACTCCCCCTAAATTTAACTATTAACATAAGCCTTCTATACAGGAAGCCTTACCAATAACATAGTCGACTAACACATATTTTATGCTATACTAGAGCCCTGGCTGCCATGGCCCTCATGGCCCAGGCTGCCTCGTGGCGCACCCCACCCACTGGTTGTTCCAGAAGGTTGGTCCACCATCTGGTCTAATTAGCATATTAGCTCTTTATTATATAGAATCTTTTATATATCGTGTTCTTGCAATAAAGAATTTTTCTTATCTTAAGAACACTTTCTTTAGCTTTAAAGAAAATTTCAATAACACATTTACTATACTTACTGAAAAATAACCCATGTATAAGTGGATCCATGCAGTTCAAATCCGTGCTGTTTGACCACTTTCTAAAATTCACATTTGCAAATTACCTTTAGTTCCTTACAGATCTAGTCCAAGGCCTATCTTTGTAAATAAAGGTGCTTTTTTGTTTTGTTAATCCTCACCCAAGGGTATTTTTCCATTGACTTTTTTAGATAGAGTAGAAGAGAGGGGGAGACGGCCGGGGGGGGGGGGGGGGGGCGGGGGAGAAACATTGATGTGTATGAGAAAGAGAAAGAAAAGAAGGACAAACATTGATGTGAGAGAGACATATTGATTGATTGCCTCTTGATGGGCTGGGGGTTGAACCTACAACCCAGGCACACACCCGACTGGGAATCAAACCTGTGACCCTTTGGTGCACAAGCCAAGCCTCTAACCACTGAACCCACCGGCCAGGGCTCTAAGTCTTACTGCCATGTAGCCATGCCCATTTGTTTATATACTAAGGGTGCTTCAGAGTTAGAATGGCAGAGCTGAATATCTTGTAACAAGACAACAAGGTGTGCAAAGTCTAAAATATTTACTAGCCACCACTTTACAGATAAAGTGTGCAGGCCCTGCTTTAGACTTTTGTTGTTGTTAATCCTTACGCAAGGATATTTTTTCAAAAAAATATTTTTATTGATTTCAGAGAGAAAGGGAGAGGGATAGAAACATCAATGATGAGAGAGAATCACTGATTAGCTGCCTCCTGCACAGCTCCTACTGGGGTTGAGCCCGCAACCTGGGCAATGTGCCCTTGACCAGAATCGAACCCGGGACCCTCCAGTCCATAGGCCGAAACTCTCTCCACTGAGCCAAACCAGCTAGGGCTCCATTAATTTTTCTTAGAGAGAGTGAAAGGGAGGAGGAAAGACAGAGAGCTAGAAACATCAACGTGAGAGACACATTGATTGGCTGCCTCCTGCACACACCCCAACAAGAACTGAATCTGCGACCCTTCGGTCCTCAGGCTGGAGCTCTAACCACTGAGCAACTGGCTAGGGCTAGACTCTTAATGTTATTCACCTTTTAATCACTCATTAAACCATTGCTCCTTGAAGAAAGGGGTGGTACTTTGCAGGTATTTGTATGTTTATACATGTTATTCAGTATTAATGACATCACTGTTCTGAAAAATCAGAAAGAAGGCACTGGTACTTCAAAAACCTGAGGGCAACTTGGCAAGTAATGATTAAATATAAAATCCATTGCCCTGGCTGACTTTGGTCAGTGGTTAGAGCATCATCAAAGGATCTCGGGTTTGATGCCCAGTCAAGGGGCACATGTGGGAGGCAGTCAATCGATGTGCCCCCTTCTCTTCCCCTCCTTCCCTCCTTCTATAGAAATCAATGACAAAAATATTCTCGGTATTTTTTAAAAAAGCATTAATCACAATAATTTATATCAGTGTATAAGTACAAAGAACATTTGGGGGGGGGGGGGCTTCTCCCCCTGGCTGGGTAGCTCAGTTGGCTAGAGTGATGTCCCAATACACATGCAAGAAGCAACCAATGAATGCATAAGTGGAGCAACAAATCAATGCCCCCCTAAAATCAATAAGTAAAATTAAGAAAAAAATATTCTCATTCAAACAGGGAAATGCTTAATAGCAAATGACAAATGTGAATGTAAATGTATAATTCACAGCTATATTAAACTGTTCTTCAGATGTAAGGCAGAGAAACAAGATAAACTGGAAGGTATGCAAGGTATTTGATAGTCCTTTTTATTCATGTAAATTAAATACTCTGCTAAAAAATTTCAAAGTTTATTTCTACAGTAGCATTTTTAAAAACACAAATCTTGAAATATTCTAAATCTTGATTTGAATGCACATGTAAATACTCAAATAATATACATATTATTTGTCTATGTGTTTACCTCAATAATTTTTAAAAATTCTAGGCTTTCTCTCTACCCAGAAGATATTAATCTTATACCAATATTAAGATTATATTCCTAACGTAAAGATGGGAGGAGCTTTAGCCAGTTTGGCTCAGTGGATAAAGTGTCAGCCTGCGAACAGAAGGTCCTGGGTTTGATTCCTGTCAAGGGCACATGCCTGGGTTGCAGGCTCCATCCCCAGTGGGGGGCGTTCAGGAGGCAGCTGATCCATGATTCTCTCTTATCATTGATGTTTCTATCTCTCCCTCCCTCTTTGAAATCAATAAAAATATATTTAAAAAATGAACGAACAAAAAGAACGGGAGGATACTGAATCCATCTGCTTTATCTAGTTGACTGTCTGCCTGCCTCCCCAGTGGTTTTCTTCATGCAGTGAAAATATAACAAAATTCAGAATAGTCTGCTTCTGACAAAAAATCAAAAGGCCACAATAAGCAATTTCTAAAACACAGATGGTTTCACAATATAATTCATTTTGTGTATGCTAAAACTATTCAGAAAACACACAAATTCTAAAATTAGTTTAGAAGGTAGGTAAGACATGAGTGCCAAAATCAGTCTTCCACAGCTTCAGATATGGAACCTGATTTCAGGAGTTAACCACAGCCCATTCTCTACTTCAGGAGTTCTAGAAGTGGTACTAGGGTGAGCTAGGCTATGTCACAGGCTCCTGTTGCGTAACATAGAACAAAACAGCAGAACAGAAATAGGAAAAAAGCAATGGATAAAGAGAATAAAAAGTACTTACCAGTGCAAACAAGATTGCGGCATAAGCCATTTCGGAAATCATGAAAGACACGATTTCGATGTTCCTAGGAACAGAGCAATGCATTTGATTTGACCAAAACTCATGCACACAGCCCCAAATCCCCACTATTTCTCCTGCACAAAATTTGTTTACACAAATGAGAGGTGAACCAATTCAATATACATATATTTATAATGTTAAAAAAACACCATAAATTGGTTTCCCATAGGAATTAATAAGCAACTAATACATCTCTATATGTTGTATTTATTTTAAGTCAAAGGTATTTATATTTTTTGCTGAAGTGGATTTCAAGTAACAATTTTCACCTTGTTTTTGTATATATATACCCTTTAAAAATGTTTCCAACAGACAATGCCAAGTTTGGCTTGACCAAACATCTGTTTTACCCTTTTAGTAATTATATACAAAAGCTAAAATAACTACTTTCCAATTAAAAAACAAAAATGGAATATACACAATGATTCTAGGAAGTGATAAATCTAGCATCTGGCAAACTGGCTTATTTTTTGAGCACAAAATTCTCCCATTTTAAAATATTCTCATCAGTTTAATATATTCATTTCTTGTGATAATTTCTAACTGCGAGGCGCCTACATGGTGGTGGTATCTGATCCATGACATTAAGCTTCTTTGAAAACCAAATGTGAGTTAAGTAATTTAAGTTCTTAACCTTGACAAGTCTACAGAAACTGCTTTTCATGAAATTTCATTAGGCACACACACACAAAAATGTCATTATAGCTTTTAATTTATTATGTGCTAAATAAAAAGTTCAGAAATGTAGAGATTCCATCCTTTTCTTAAGCAAATAGTAAAAAAAAAAAAAGTACTTGGGTTGAGGAGGTTCATAGATACATTAAACATGTAAAATCCTCAGCAATAATGGAAATTGTTGTGTCTGTACTGTCCAAAACCATAGGTGATTGTGACATTTAATGAGGCACTTGAATGTGGTTAGTGTGACTGAAACATTTAAATTTGATTTGATTTTAACTCATTTAAATTGCCACATGTGGCTAGAGGCTATTATATTAAATAGTGTAAAACTAGAGATAACCTGGGAAAGAAAGGAATAAAGTCTGACATCTGTATCACGCTTGACTGTTGACAGGTATTCGTACATTATCTCAATCCTCCTTATGAGATAAGAGTATGTATTATTACCCCTATTTCATAGTAGAAAACTGGGCCTTCAGGAGGATAAAATGAAGAGTCCTTCATCTACTAAGGAATCATTTCTTCTTAAACTCAGGACATTTGGAGGAGCATTAAAACAAAATCCAAGAAATACTTAGAAAAAGATGTTTTAAAAATCTGTGCAACTTCTAGTTTGACACTCACCTGCCTCATTTTAGCATGGATATAGAAGCAAGAATAACCCAGTTGAGAAATCTTCTTGGCTAGCAATTCAACTCGCTGAGAGGAGTTACAGAAAATGATCGACTGGTTTATCTGAAGCTGAGCACAGGGGATGAGGGAGAGACATGAGTGGGAAAACACCTTTACTTACTTTGCATACCTTGAAAATATTGACTGGCAAACAAATGTTAAAACCATGGTCTATGACAGAGAGTCTTATGACACAAAAGATGCAAAACTTTAAAAATTGTAAATACTATTCATTTACTTAATATTTGCAGATACTTTATAAGTTTATTGTAGTACGGTATATTTCATAAGGGCACACAATTGCCAGCAAGAATAAAACAAAACAGTTGCTGCAAATACTGAATTAGTGGATGAAGAACCATTGCTCCTAGGATAAATACAGGGTAGTTCCTGTGAACATCTGGTCACAAGTTTTTCTGTGTGTTTTTTAAAACTGGTATTAGATAGAGGAAGGGGGAGAGAGAAACATCAACTGGCTGCCTCCTGCACATGCCCCAACAAGAGATTGAACCTGAAACCTGGGTACGTGCCCTGACCTGGAATCGAACCTGCCACCTTCTGGTGTACAGCACGACACTCCACTGAGCCACACTGGCCAGGGTTGGCCATGAGTTTTTCATCAATGAATCAATAGACAGTCTTGTTTTTGTGTTACTGTTTAAAGCAGGGGTCCTCAAACTACGGCCCACATGCAAATACAAATATTGTATTTGTTCCCGTTTTGTTTTTTTACTTCAAAATAAGATATGTGCAGTGTGCATAGGAATTTGTTCATAGTTTTTTTTAAAAAAAATATTTTATTGATTTTTTACAGAGAGAAAGGGAGAGGGATAGAGAGTTAGAAACATCGAGGAGAGAGAAACATCGATGAGCTGCCTCCTGCACACCCCCTACTGGGTATATGCCCGCAACCAAGGTACATGCCCTTGACCGGAATCGAACCTGGGACCCTTCAGTCTGCAGGCCAACGCTCTATCCGCTGAGCCAAACCGGTTAGGGCTCATAGTTATTTTTTTTAACTATAGTGCAGCCCTCCAAAGGTCTGAGGGACAGTGAATTGGCCCCGTTTAAAAAGTTTGAGGACCCCCGGTTTAAAGACACTTTATTTATTCATGGTCAACAGCACCATAACTAATGCCTGTGCAAGCAAAGTTTATCTAATACACATTTCCTCTGAGAGGCACTTCAGTCTTCTTGTACTTTGGTGCACCAGACAGCACTTTAACACTATACTTTTAAACAATGAAATCAACAGAAAAGTCGCAAAAAATGCAAAAAAGATGTGGCATTAAATAGGCCATGAATATGACCTTAGTTGGGAATATGCACAATGACTCAAAATTTTCCTCGCGTTATGCATGTCCATAAATGACCTCAAATGCATGCAAGTACTGATTGTGGTTATAAATTTTGGCAAGTAAAAATTTGAGAATACAGTATCCGCAAACAAGGACTGACTATAATTACTGCAAACATGAGAATCAACTTTAATTAAGGTCAAACTATTTTAGAATTAAAAGTACCTAAGACTTGTCAATTATACCCTATCAACTTCAGACCAGCTGAAACTATTTTTCAGGAAAAGCTAAGAACTTTTTTTTTTTTTTTAAACATTTAAAGTGATGGGGAAACTGATACAACTGTGTTTCATTGGAATTGAGTAATGGACAATGTTCAGGAGCCTATTCCTCACCCTGGAGAAAAGTGTGTTGAGGCAGTGCACTTTTTGGCGCTCGGTTACATATGCGTAGTACTGGGTTACTCCCTTCAAAGTTAACTCCTCCATCAGGTTAATCTCATAGGGTTTCTGCAAATGGGAATTCTGAAAACAAACAAACAAACAATAAATAAATAAAACAGAAGAAGTCTTATTCTTAAGTGAAAGCAGAGTGTATCTCTTAAGCTCAAAATATATCCTATACATCTGTCTGAAAAAACTTTTGCTTTAAGGGTGTAGCTCTCTTGAAAACAAAAATATACAATCTTTCCTGGAAGAAATAAATTACAATTAAAATGTGAGATTTAACAGTCAGATATGTAACTAAGTTACTATTTTGTACTTTGTGTACAGGATTATGCTGTAATAAATTTATATAGCATCAATGGCTGTGTCAGCAGCCTGACACCAAAAAGTGAACAATGAAGGATTTAATCAAATTACTATTTAAAAATTCAGTTAATTTATGCACAACAAACCTTAATCAGCTGAAAAAAAAAAAGCCAAAAACTTAAAAATAATCAGCCTAAATTGTAGCCTGATAATAAGATATAATTATGAATAAAGATATGCGCCTGAGAAACAGGATGGCATTGCTTCCAAGCACATCTGTCTCACACTCACCATGAACTTCTGTACACTAAGAGGGAAAGTAGCGGAATACAATAAAATCTGTCTGTTTTTAGGTAGCGTGAGAATAATATCCTCCATTATTTGCACAAAATCCTGTGACAGCAACTTATCTGCCTGCAGTACAAGAGAAGACAATTTTAAAAACAATTAAATAACGTCAAGGTCTTTGGTAACTATGGCATCATCCACCAAGAGCATTCATGGAATGTTCCTGGTGGTAAACATGAAGTTCTCTACACCACAACATAACCCGACAGCACCAAGATATGCCCAGTGACTCAGAAGGGGGAAAAGTCTATAATACCCATCTACAGGGTGAAATGGTGGCAGGAATCCTAGCAGATTCCATAACAGAATTTTAATATGATTTCCTTTGAAGAGGCAATATGGTATACTGGTTAAAAGTACAAGCTGCAGAGTCAAATTACTTGGATTGAAATCTTGTTTTCTTCAATTTACTACACGGGGAGGTTGCTTAACCAATCAGTTCTTCACATTCTACAATTTTTAAATTAGGATGTGTACTCACTACAGTAACTTCACAGAATACCTATCTTACAAGGTTGTTGCAAAAATTAAATTAAAAACAAAAAAACATGTAAAGCACCTAGTGTTAATACAGAGTGAAAAATAAATGTTCCCTCTCATTCCTCAAAAAAAACAAAAAAAGCTGATCTGAATTAGACCACAATCGACCTGATCTATCTATCTAGCTAAAACGCAGACCAAATAGGAAAGTAATTTTATTTCAAAATATTAACAGTGATATACTGTATGTATAAAACACTACTGGAACCCAAGGACACAGAACCGAGTAAGTTCTTAAAGCAGCCGTGGGCAAACTACGGCCCGTTTGAAATGAATAAAACTAAAAAAAAAAGACCGTACCCTTTTATGTAATGATGTTTACTTTGAATTTATATTAGTTCACACAAACACTCCATCCATGCTTTTGTTCCGGCCCTCCGGTCCAGTTTAAGAACCCATTGTGGCCCTAGAGTCAAAAAGTTTGCCCACCCCTGTCTTAAAGGCACTTACTACCTAGTGAGATAACACATGTAACAGAGACTAAAAAACCAAATACCAAATATTATACGCTAAATGAGGGGGTTAAAGCCATTACATGCCTTTTAAGATGTATCACTAAATGGAAAGAGACTTAGCATGAACTTGGTTTGAGGTAACTCAGCAACTTCTCACCTTGAAAAATAAAAATAAAATCCAAACTATCTGGCATCCCTAAGAAAGGCACAAGGCTGAACTATTCCTATAAATAACTATCATCTACTGCCTTTAAAGGGCAAAACATGTTTTATAAGCATATTAGTTTCAACTGACAAACGTCATGTGTTTATTAGAAGATCATAAGGAAAACACAAAGAACCTTTGCTTCATTCACTGACAATTCTAAATAAAGCTCAGAATAATACAGAATAGCATCTTTGCAAATGAAGAGACATTACCTCATCCAATACTATCATCTGGACATGATCAACTTTTGCTACTCCTTTCTTGATAAGATCCAGGATTCTCCCAGGAGTAGCTATTACCACGTGCACTACACAAGATTAGAAAACATATTCTCATTAATTTTAGCTTGGGCAAAAAGGATGTAGTAAAGGCTTGCATACATATATAAACCTTTAAAAATATATATCTATTAGAGGCCTGATGCATGAAATTTGTGCATGGGTAGGGTCCCACGGCCTGGCTGGCAATCAGGGCTGATCTGTGGGGCAACCAAGCAGAGCAATAGGGAGTGTGGGGGGGATGGTGGGGGGTGCCCCCCTGGCACCAGCCTTGGCTGGCCTGGGGCCTACAGGCTGGGGGCAGCTCCTGCATTGAGCGTCTGCCCCCTGGTGGTCAGTGTGCGTCATAGTGACCAGTTGTTCTGCGTTTGGTCAATTTGCATTGTTGGAGAGTTAGGAATTCAGTAGTCCCTCCTTATCCAGTTTCACTTTCCATAGTCAAATGCAGTCTGGAAATATTAAATGGAAATTCCCAAAATAAACAATTCATAGGCTTTACATTTCAAGCCATTCTGAAAAATGTGACGAAAACTTGCACCTTTCCACTCAGACCTGCCCAGGATGTAAAGCATCCTTTTGTCTAGTACAGCGGTTCTCAAACTGTGGGTCGAGACCCCTTTGGCGGTCGAACGGCCCTTTCACAGGGGTTGCCTAAGAACATCCTGCATATCAGATATTTACATTACGATTCATAACAGTAGCAACATTACAGTTATGAAATAGCAACAAAAATAATTTTATGGTTGGGTCACAACATGAGGAACTGTATTTAAAGGGCCAGAAGGTTGAGAACCACTGGTCTAATATATCTGCTAACCACCTATGAAGTCACTTAGGAGCTATCTAGGTTGTCAGATAGTTGTACCTCAGTGCTTGTGTTCAAGTAACATTTATTTTACTTAATTAAATGGCCTCAAGTGAAGAGCGGTGATGCTAGCAATTTGGGGGTGTCAAAGAGAAGTCAGAACATGCTTCCTTTAAGTGAAAATGTGGAAGTTCTCTACATAAGAAAAAAACTGTATGCTGAGTTTGTTAAGGTGTATGATGAGAATCAATCTTCTACCCATGAAACTGTGAAGAAAAAGAAATTTGTGCTAGCTAGTTTTGCTGTCATACCTCAAACTGGGAAACTTAGGACCACTGTACATATAAGTGCTTAGTTAAGATGGAAAAGGCATTAAGTTTATGAGTAGTAGATGTGAACAGAGAAGGGCCAAATTCACATAACTTTTATTACAGTATATTGCTGTAATTGTTCCATTTTATTATGTTACTGTTGTTAATATCTTACCTAATTTATAATGTGTACGTATGTATGTATGTGTGTGTGTGTGTGTGTGTGTGTGTGTGTAGGGTTTGGCACTATCCTAAGTATCAGGCATTCATAGGGGGAGGGGAGGTGTTACAACATATCCCTTGCAGGTAAGGGGGGACTACTGTAGTACAAAGAAACAAAGATTTGTATTTTAGGACATGGATTTCTATTTCATCTTAGGTTGACTAAGATATACTTATTTGTTTCACCTCTACATGGGATAGGCTAACGCAGTGGTCGGCAAACCGCGGCTCGCGAGCCACACGCGGCTCTTTGGCCCCTTGAGTGTGGCTCTTCCACAAAATACCATGTGCGGGCCGCGCACGTACAGTGCGCTTGACACTTCATGGCCCATGCGCAGAAGTCAGTTTTCAGCCTGGGCAAGTCTATTTTGAAGAAGTGGTTGTAACTATAGGTTTAACTAAGACTTAAAACTTTAAGTAAAGTTTATTAAGTTAATTTTAGGGAATGTTGTGGGGTGAAAGAAGATGTAGTGTTGAGGACTGAGAAAGGTATGTTGAGATGGTTGGGACATATAGAGAGGATGAACGAAAGGAGATAGATGAAACAAGTATACAAGATGAGTGTGGATGGGAGAGTTGGAAGGGGTCGAACTCAGCGAATGTACCTCAATCAGATTGAGGACGTTTTTAGCAAAGGCCAGCTTAGGAGTACCCTAATTAAGTTAATAACAATGTACCTACCTATATAGTTAATAAAGGGCATATTTCCTTCTTAGGAAATCCCTAATGAATAATAAAAGGCATAGCAGGCTTCTAATATAGGGGACTGCCTTTCAACTAGAACAATGGTCTTGAGGAAATTGTTACAAGGATCAAATGATATAATCACATAAAATAACTGTGTAGTATGAAGACTATAGTAATTGATCTAATGAAAACCATATTAAAATCTAATATTCTCTGTATAATTTTATAAGATTTCATTCTTGTTTTATCTTTTTTTTCACACAGTAATGTATCATGGAGAACCTTCATAAAAATTAATACCGATCAGCTTCATTCTTTAATGGCTGTGTGGATTCCATTCAGACTATCCTCTAATGTTCAGGCTGTTCCAATTTTTCAGTACTACAAAACCACAATGTAGTGAGCAGCCTTGCATTTGCCCAATTCTTTCTTTAAAGATTCTTGGCCCTAACTGGTTTGGCTCAGTGGACAGAGCGTCGACCTGCGGACTGAAGGGTCCCAGGTTCGATTCTGGTCAGGGGCATGTACCTTGGTTGTGGGCACAACCCCAGTGGGGAGTGTGCAGGAGGCAGCTGATCGATGTATCTCTCTCATCGATGCTTCTAAGTCTCTATCCCTCTCCCTTCCTCTCTGTAAAAAAAAAGATTCTTGAAAATATACATAATTTTGAAATATACCAACTTGCCCACCATAGAGATTGCATTAATTTATACTCCTATATTGTAAGGCAGACTATTTAGCCACAAACTCATGTTATTGGTTACTAATGTGTTTTTGGTCTTGCCAATCAGAAAGGCACAATATCAATTTGCTGTTTTTATTTACATTTTTCATTTTAATTACTGTCAACCTGTCTTTTTTCTTGGATGAAGCTGTCATTTCCTTTATTCATTTTTCTACCGCAATGTTTTCATTCCTTATTAATTCTTGCTTAAATTGATTTTTAAGACACAGAAGAGGGGAGGGAGGGAGGGAAGGAGGAGAGAAGCGCGCGTGCACACATCGATTTCCTGCATTCAGGGATCAAACCCACAACCTAGGTATGTGCCCTAACCGGGAATCAAACCCGCAATCCTTTGGTGCACGATACAACACTCCAACCAACTGAACCACCTGGCCAGGGCCCTTATTAATTTTTAAAAACAATTTTTCATAAGTTATTGAAAGGAAATGCCTGTGTATGAAATTACACTTAGAGAGCTAGGCGACTTTGTATGAGTTATTTCCTACCTGTATCATCAAGCCTCATTATGTCATCACGTAAATTGGTTCCTCCTGTGGTTGCCATCACTTTGGCCCCTCCCATGTGTTTGCTGACCTGGATGCAAATTTGACTGACCTGTAGAGCAAGTTCTCTTGTAGGAACAATCACCATTGCTGAAAAATAACAAGCAACAGAGGAAATAGGAAAAAATAACATATTTTAAGAGTTTAAGAAGCTACAGAAATACTGCTCCTTGCAATCTAGATACTCAGACATATTAAAAAATTAAATCATAATAGGCCTAACCAATTCTAAAAAGTCAAATGAACAAATCTTTAAAAAAACTAAAACAAAAAACCCCTTAGTGATCCAGATATAGACGTTTCCTAAACAATGTTGCTATAAGTCTTGTTCTATTCTCGATTACAAACTTTTAAAGGGTTCTCTATAAATTGGCACCTGCTTAAAGTTTACTAATTTAATATTTCAGTAAGAGACTCACTAGTCTAAACACCCAAATAGGAAACTCTTGCCCCAGGTTCATTTATATCACATGAAAGTAGGTAAATGAAAGATGGGAGAAATTATAATTATAGGTCACAACAGCTGAAAATTAAAACAAAACTGCTTTAAAAGTGAAAACTTAACTCTCTTAGCTTACTCTGTTACAAGCACGGAAGTGTTTCTTCCCTACTGCCTCAGCTTTTAAAATTCCAAAAACGCATGGCTTTAAAGAGAAGGGATTCATGTTTCTATAGGAACCTTGCAGACACACAGCTGCCACAGAAACAATTCAGTTCCGTAGGTTTTTTTCTATTTGTTTATTTTTGTTCATTAGATTCCACATATAAGTAAAATCACAGTTTCATAGTTTTTAAGTAATAACATCCAACAATTTAACTTCTCATGATCTTAGTGTTCCTATCTAGAAGGCAATAGCTTACTTTGCCTATATCAATGGAATATTGTTGAAACTGCATAATATAAAAAAATATTTTGAAAACTATTTAAAGAGTTGTGGGGGGGGGGAAAAGGATAAATACTAATTCCAGATTATGTAAATTCTAACTTAAAAAAATTACCTTCTACATAGCTCCAAGATTTAAACTGTCATTTTTAGTTTAAACAAACAACTAACCTTGTATATTGTCCTTCTTCAGGTCTAGCCGTTCAAGTAAGGGAATGAGGTAGGCACCACTCTTGCCCGTTCCATTTTTTGCTCTAGCTAAGATATCCCTACCAGATAAAGCGATGGGAATGCTCTCCTCCTAAAAGAGACAAGACAATACAAATTACTTGTGAATAAAAACAGCACAGCCTGGCCGGCATGGCTCAGTGTTTGAGTGTCAACCTATGAACCAGGTGGTCACAGTTCGATTCCCAGTCAGGGCACATGCCTGGGTTGCAGGCTTGATTCCCAATGGGGGGTGTGCAGGAGGCAGCCAGTCAATGAAATGATTCTCTCATCATTGATGTTTCTCTCTCTCTCTCCCTCTCCCTTCCTCTCTGAAATCAATAAAAATATATATTTAAAAACAAACCCAAAACAGCACATAAGCAAATTCTTCTCTAAAATACATTGAAGGTATATCTCTTTGGTATTGCTTTAAAGTGTCCTTTATGTTTGCATTTTACAAGAATAAGTAAGTAGAGACCACGTAAATGAGCAAGACCAGTCAGCATCACCATCATTATCAACCAATACTTATTTACTAAAACTGCTCATAGAATATATATTAAATTGCATTCCAATGTAATAAAAACTGTACATGTAAATGTGTATGGCCAAGGAAGCTGAGCATCAACAACAAAGAGAACAAAGAAAGGAGGAACTTGAGCTGACACACACAGAGAGAGAAAAAGCAGAAGACAGTTCACAATTAAAAAACTGGAGAAAAAAATGACCAAAAAATACAAAGCAAACACTATATATGATATTTTAAGACTAATAAGCCAATTTTACAATGAAAACTTGTATCTTGGACAACTTACCCTTGCAAAAAGCAGGAATAGGCTAGAAAAGTCTAACCTCAGGTCCTATTTCATATTTAATAATTAGATCCATAAACCTCCAATATCTGTCTTACAGCTACTCCTCTGTCCTGAAATGTGCTCAAATGGAGAGTCAATTCCAATCCAGTTACCTCAATCCATGGTCACTTGACTGAGAGGGACTCTTATTTTCATATTTAAATTACTGTTATGTGTGTTTTGCAGAAGACAACATTTCCTATTAAATCAGGACAAATTTCCCAGACAATAGCAAAGGAGTCTCAACATTACTAAAAATTAAATACACATATATCTACAGGGAAACTAAAAAGGCAGAACAAGTATAAACAGGGAGGAAGCTGAACATTCCTATTTCTCAAATTAAAGAAATTAGTTTTAATTTTTAAAACTAAAAAGTTAGGTCCAGCCAGTGTGGCTCAGTGGTTGAGTGTCGATCCATGGACTAGGAGGACATGGTTCGATTCCCTGAGGGGGCACATGCCTGGGTTTCGGCAGCTCAGTCCCAAGTGTGGGGCATGCGGGAGGCAGCCAATCAATGATTCTCTCATCATTGATGTTTCTCTCTCTCTCTCTCTCTCTCTCTCTCTCTCTCTCTCTCTCTCTCTCTCTCTCCCCCTTCTCCCTTCCTCTCTGAAATCAATAAAAAATAGACTTAAAAAAGATAAAAACCCAACTAAAAAGTTAGGAAAATAAATTAGGAGAATCATAATCATTATAATAATTAGTTCTTTCTATGCCTAAGCTTATGACCAAAAGAAATCTCTCCAGCACTTTAAAAAAATGTTTAAATATATTTTTATTATAGAAATATCTAAGTCATAAGCATAATGACTTCTATTTCCCACCATGACACTTATTCTACCCAGAACCCAATCACAGGGGTCAGATGGGTTCCGTATGGTCAGAATAACTAGCACAGACACCAGAACTGTGAAAATGGTCTGGTGACAATACTGTTAAATTGTTCCTATAACTAGCAGTAAATAGTCTGCTTATTGTGGTAAAGCAGGTCAAGGAAGAAAATGACTGGAGATCAAACCCGCAACCTTGGTGTATCAGGACAACACTTTAACCCACTGAGCAACTAGGCCAGGGCCTCTTCTATGGTTTTTAAACAGGCCACCTGCACACCATACCCCCCCCCCCCCCAAAAAAAGGGAGGGGGAATGGATAGGGCTAAATGGTCTCCAAGGGTCTTCCAATGATTTTCTGAGCCAGGTCCTTTAAAACTATAAACATTTTTAATGAAGTCAAGCAGGGTAGAATTAATTGGGGGTATCCTAATTCACATTTTGGGTATATCATTTGATTTAGATTGAGGCCACTAACTTCTAAATTCCTCTATTTTCTTTGACAGGGCTCATGCTCTACAGGAACTGTTTAAGGGTAAGACTTTGTAACAAAGTCAGCAAGCTAGTCTGTAGTTAGGATGCACTGGTATTTTGCCTGTATGATGGCCATGATGATTAGTCTGGTAATTCAGCACATCCACACTGTCTCTTACCACTGTTTCCTAGGAAGACCAGGTAATATGAAGCAAGAAAACTCAGATTCAGGCAGCTCTGAAACCAAGAGGAAATAATGTGAAGCTGCCAGAAGAGAAGGAGAAAAGGAAGCTAAAAATTCTTGAAACACTGTGTGCTAGGCACTCTGCTAGGTAGATACCTTACAATATTTATGTCCTTTTAAGTTTGGTACTTTTTGTTTTACAATTTATAAAATGGATCCTCAGAGATTAATTGTTTTGCCCAAGGTCATGAAGCAAGAAATGCTAGAACCAGGACTTGAACTTAAGTCTACAAATAACAACATGTAAGTGAGGATGTGGAGAATTCAAAACCCTCACACACTGCTAGTGGGAATGTATAGCCACTTTGGAAGTCTGACAACTTCTCAACAGGTTATACAGCATTAGCATATGAACCCACAATTCCACTCCCAGAAATATAACCCCCAAAGTGAAAACATCTCCACACAAAACTTGTACATTCATGTTCATAGCAGCACCTATATAATAAAAGCCCAGCAACTATTACGGCAGAACGACTAAAACGACCGGTCGCTATGATGCACCATCTGCAAGGGCCACCACCAGTGCTGCAGCCGAGCCCGAGGGCCCCGGGGCTGGTTGCACAGCCGCCGCCAAGGCGCCGGTAAAGAAGAACGCGAAGGTGGCCAGTGTGAGCGTGCAGCTTAAGATGAAGGCTCTGTGGGACAAATTCAATCAGCTGGGCACCAAGATGATCGTCACCAAGGCTGGCAGGTCAGGGCACCCCTCTCCCCGCTGCAACCCTCCCCATGTGGCACCAGTCTTGGGTAGTAGTGGGCTTTGGCCCGATTCACACGAGCAAGACAGAGAAGTGGGGTGGGGGGTGCAGCCGGGCAACCTGTGAGTCCAGCTCCTTCGCTCTCCGAGTCCCGGCTCTAGCGAAAGCCGCCTGGCGTGGGCCGGAAGGTATTGCTCAGGAGGCCAGGAAGGTGGGTGAGAGAAGCCTGTGGACCTGCCGCCTGACCAGCAGCCCAGGACCGGGCACTGCCAGAAATGGGCCGGCTCAGGGCACACCAAGCTTGGGGGGAAGGCAGCTGCCTGTAAGGGACCTTGCCACCAGCCGGCTCCCCATGAATCCCACCTCAAAGGAAGCTTGGTCTGTGGTTCCTTAGTTCAGTCTATCCTGGCTAAAGAGGAGCAGTTGGGCACATTTTAGGGGAGAATTAAGACTCTAAAACAGTATCTTCTGTTCCGTGGAGATGGCTACCCAGTTGTGTTAGGCCTAAACTCCGGGTGATTGTGGGGCCTGGCTCTGCCACTGGGGCCTGCATTTTCCAAATGGCCTGTATTTGTTGTAAGGGCCCCAAAAGAAGAAGGAGAACAAGTTTTTCGAAGCAATGGATTTGACCAACAGACGAAGGCGAGTGCCAGGCTGTGTCTAATGTACACACAGAGACACTAGCTGAGTCTGCCTGGCCAGAGGGAGCTCAGGGCCTGTTTGCAGAGCCTTCTGGTGGTTTCTGTTTCCTTGCTGAGGCTGTCCTCCCTGGGAAGCCTGGGGTCCATGCTCAGCTCCAGCTCAGTGGGTCTTCTCCAGGCCCCTCCCCCTGGCCGCCCTGCCCCCAATCGGCCCCCCACCCCAATGGGGGGCAGTGCCAGCCAGCCTGGCCCAATTGGGGCGGGCCAGCAGGACCCCACCTGTGTAGGAATTCACGTACCAGGCCTCTAGTTATTCATAATAGCTAACAGTGCAAACAACCCTACCAACTGATGAGTGGATAAACCAAATGTGGTATAGCCATACAATGGAACATTACTCAACAGAAAGGAATAAAGTTTTGATATATGTCACAACGTGAATGACCCATAAGGAAGTATGATATGCCAAAAGAGCTAGCCACAGGAGACCATATATTGTATAATTCTATTTATAGGAAATGTCTAGAATTTGTAAATCATGCTATTGAGACAGAAAGTAGATTAGTGGCTGCTTAGAGCTAAGAGAAAATGAGGAGAGACTGTTAAAGGACTTTCTGAGTGGTTCTCAACCTTCCTAATGCTGCGACCCTTTAATACGGTTCCTCATGTTGTGGTGACCCCCAACCATAAAATTACTTTCATTGCTACTTCATAACTGTAATTTTGCTACTGTTATGAATCGTAATGTAAATATCTGATATGCAGGATGTATCTTCATTGTTCGCGACCCACAGGTTGAGAACCGCTGGTTAGGGTGATGAAAATGTTCTAAAACTGATTGTAGTATTGCTTGCACAACTGTGAATACACTAAAAACCATTGAATTGTATGATATTTGAGTTATATTTAATTTAGCCCAACAATCCCACAACCTTAGGTCTGATGATGGCAGAATCATGCCACCTTAGTTCGCCAAGTCCATGATCCTCTGTAAGGTCTAGGAACTGATCCAATCTCTCTCTCTCTCTATAAAAGCCTAAGCGACCATTACGACCTAACGACCAGTCAACCAGTCACTATGATGCACACTGACCACCAAGAGGCAGACACTCAACGCAGGAACTGCCTGCCCCCTGGTGGTCAGTGTGCTCCCACAGCCAACCTCCCATTGGTCCCTCCCCACAGCCCCCCGGCCGTACACCAAGCCGAGTGAGAGAGAGACATATATAGACATATGTATCTATATATAAATATATATAGATATGTAGATATATAGAGATATAAAGATATAGATATTGGATGTATTTTTGTTACGTTAGTATCCATTTCCCTTTCTTAGTAGAACCCTAGCTTCCTTCTGAGATATTATATCTCCCCTACCCAATATATCCATAGTCTAGCCAACCTCCTTAGTCATATGGTAGACACTGGCATTGCTGTGTTTTCCACAAATTCTCAGGCAAAATAATAGTGAAGAAAAAGACAATGTGAATGGTAGTCTCAGGTATCTAATACTTTGGCTAAGTGGCTGGAGAATTAATTGCCTATATGCTATACTAGGGGTGGGCAAACTTTTTGACTCGAGGGCCACAATGGGTTCTTAAACTGGACCGGAGGGCTAGAACAAAAGCATGGATGGAGTGTTTGTGTGAACTAATATAAATTCAAAGTAAACATCATTACATAAAAGGGTACGGTCTTTTTTTTTTTTTTTAGTTTTATTCATTTCAAACGGGCCATAGTTTGCCCACGGCTGTGCTATACCAACACTGAGAATGCAAATAACAAAATCAATTTTAAAATTTAATACAAAGGTGGGAAACAGAACCCAGCAAGGGTCTGCTAAATGAACCAATAAATAAAACTGTTATATGGAACAATAACCCATAATATTTCTTCTGCATTTATCACATACTAGGCACTGTATTAAGCATACTAACATTCATCATCTCACTGAATTTTCACAATAGCCCTATGGTATATGCTATATCAATTTTATAGGTTAGCAAACCAGGGCTTAGGAAGATATCTCAAACAATCAACTAAAAAAGCAGTAGCGTTGGGATTCAACCTGGGCAGCCTGCTTGCAAATCTAGTGTTCTTAGCCAGTTCTCTAAGCAGTTTAGACCAAGTTCGCCTGCCAACATATGTTAACCATAATTTCAAAGCTTTCTACATGGCTTTTTGAGGGCCTGTTTCCTGCATGCACCTTGCTAAGTACCAGAGATACAAAGTTGAATGACTAGACCCTACAGAAGAGTTCTCAGAACACTTTTTTATCCGTACAGATAAAATACATTCACATGAACTACAGTAGGTCCTCAGGTTACATCGGAGATCTGTGCCTACGGTGCGCCGTAATGGGAAATGCTATTTTCGCCATAAGTCGGAACCCACCTACATAAGCACCTATGTCACTCACATGGAGCACAGACACAGCAGTAATGAAGTGAAACAGTAAAAAAAAATTTAAAAGAAATAACAATTCCTGACCTTTACTTATGGTAAATAAATAATAAAAAACATAAAATACATATGTCGAAATGACGGAACTTTTTTTTTTATATAAATAAATGGGAGATGGCGATGTAACCACGAGATGATGTATGCCGAGTCTGTCTGTACATTACAGAAAAGTAGTTTACATATTTTTAATATCCACATTCACACTGCCTATCTAATTATGTATAACCTTATCTTGATACTTTCTCTAGCCATAATAAACTTCTTTTGGTTTGTCCACTAAGGCACACTTTCACCCCTAGACAATCACTAGCCTAGTGTTCTGTGCTTAGAACATGGATCAATTCTTCTTCCAGGTTGGTTCCATCTTCCTCAAATGGCTACATATTTGTGCAATTTCAAGTAGAAAGTAGTATTACACTAAATTATCTGTACAATTAGCTTCACAGACTGTGAAGGCAGGAACGCTCTCTGCCTTTTCAACACAACATCCTGCACCTAACACTTTCTAGGTCACTCAATGTTTGCTTAATGAAAAAGTGCTCAATGATGTCATAGGGGATTGTCCTTAAAGGCTAGATGCAACACTTTTAAGTTACATAAAGAGAACAGTCGTTTATCAAATCTGCATATGTACACTGCATGTTTATGTCTACATATATCCATGTACATGCATGCATACATACTGTATATTCCCTTGCTCTTTCCACTGAAAGGGCCAAGGAGCAAAGAGTGCACCTAGTGTTCAGATGTTGGCCTCTAACCCTATTCCCCACTAATTGGAACGGGGGCTGGGGAAAAATGGCTGATTCCAAGGCTGGGGCAGGGTAGGTACAGATAAGCTTCATGATATGCCAAAAACGAAGTGCTCAAGAAAAATGGAGGGAGGAACGGGTGAAGAGGTGGAGCATAAAGGATTTTTTAGGACAGCGAAACAACTCTGTATGATACCATAATGGTGGATATATGTCATTATACATTTGTTCAAACTCATAGAATGTACAACACCAAGAGTGAATCTTAAGGTAAACTGCAGACTTTGGATGATACATGTCAATGTAAGTCATCAGTTGTAACAAATGTATCACAACGTATAACTCTTGCAGAGAATACTGATAATGGGGGGGGGGGGGTTGCTATGCATAAGTGGGGACAGGAGTATATGGGAAATCTCTATCTTCCAGTTCAATTGCTATGAGCTGAAAACTGCTCTAAAAATAGTCTATCCATGGCGGGGGTGGGATGGGCTGGGGGGGTAGATGGGGCGAAAAGGGGACATATGCAATACTTTCAATACTAAAGACTAAAAAAAAGAAAGAAACCTGATAAAAATAAAATTTAAAAAATAAAAATTATCTGAAAAAGAAAAGGGGGCATGTTACAAAACAACCTCGAAGGAGCTCATACTACCCAAATCTGGGAATTTGAGCACAAAAATATCATTGGGGGAAAAAAAGAATTCATGATTCCATAATGATTTTATACACACACACACACACACACACACACACGCACACACACACACACTAGAGGCCCGATGCACGAAATTCGTGCAAGAGCTCGGCCCTCACAGCTCCAGCTACCTTGGCCCATCGCGGTCCCGCCCACTGGTCGTTCCGGCGTCCGGTCTAATTAGCATATTAGCTCTTTATTATATATGATATGCATAAGGAGGAGATAGGGAAGGCTCTTTAAAAAGCCAAAGGAGTCCTAGAGTTGGAAACTCATTATAATCCAACAAAGATAGGATCAATGGATGCTAAGACTAGGAGAAACTTTGATGAAGAGTAGGATCTCTGCATGATCTTAAAGTGATCTCTACAGATGCTTATTAATTCCAAGATAGGAAAAAAGCTGCAATTATACAGTAGAAAAATCAGAGGCCACTTTGACAGGGTAGTCAAAATTAAAATCATCAATGAGAAATAGACAGGCATTGTGCACACCTCCACGTGATACCCTGAGAAGGCCACAGCATGATTTCTATAGTATTTTGGCTAAGAATGTATTAACTTTAATCACACAGAAACATGAGACAAACCCAGAATGAGGAATGTTCTGTTTTAAAAAGGGTACTATATTTTTTAATATATCTATATCATAAAAGACTAAAACAGACTAGGGAAATGCTGAAAGGAGGTTAGAGAGATATAACTATATGCAATACTCAATCCTAAGATGGATTCTATACCAAGGAGGAAAAAAAATGCTAAAAAGGACATTTTCGTGTCAATTAAAAATTAGATAGAAATATTGTATTAATGCTGACTTGACTGCAGATAACTATATTGTGGTTATACTAGAGGCCCAGTGCATGGCCAGGGGCTGGCGGGGAGCTTGGCTGTGGGAATGCACTGACCACCAGGGGGCAGCTCCTGCATTGAGTATCTGCCTCTGGGTGGTCAATGAGAGTCATAGTGATTGGTTGACTGGTCGTTTGGTTGTAATGGTCGCTTAGGCTTTTATATATATAGATATAACATAGTATTTCTACTCTTAGGAAACACTGAAATATTTAGAGGTGATGGCCATGATTTTGTAACTTACTCTTAAAAGGTTTGGGGGGGGAAAAGGTTCGGAAAACGAGTGCATATATGTGTGGGTGTGTACACACAAGAGAAATATTCATTTTATCATCCCCATAGATAATAAGTATGTAATTCTTCACTCATAACATTATACACGTGATAAAAAGGGGAAACATACCTGAATAGGAGATGGCTTTTCCCAGCCCATTTCAAAAATTCCCATCAGTAACTCCCGCTTTAAACAGTAATCTTCAAACTCATTTCCTTTTGTGGAGGTTACATCCTAGTCAAGCAAACAAAACAGTAATAAAAGAATAAAGCACAACTGTGTTCGTTAGTTAGCATGCTTAAGAAAGTTTGTCTGAGAAACTAATTCTTTATCTCTCCCATTTAAGATATAAATATATGCAGATTAGCAGATTAGCTCTGTCCTGATCTGTACTTCAACTATTCCTGAAGAATAATCACTCTCTAACAGACACAAGTCATTTAAAAACTGTGTTTGGAGGAAAGGCCACTCTGTGGTCATATTCTTCTAAGGAACAGCTGGAATACTGTAAGAATCATGCTGTGAAATTAAAATCGAATATGAAATCAAACCCTAGTTAACCACTCACTGCCTACAATAGCCTAGTCAAAATCAGGGCTTCTCAAGCTCAGCAATGTTGACTTTTGGGCCAGAAAATTCACTGCTGTGAGGGGCTGTCTTGTAGCCTTTCCCCAGCTGTGATAACCAGAAATGTTTGTAGCTATTGCTAAATATCCCTTGGTTGAAAATACTGGGCTAAGAGAATTAACCATTTGCAACTTCCATTTTCTCATCCATAAAATGGAGATAACACCTGGCCTCAATCTTACTGAACAAAAGAGAATATGCCTTGAAAACTATCCTATATAATAAAAGCGTCATATGCAAATTGTCCCCTCGACTGGGAGTATGACTGCATGCTATGACATGCACTGACCACCAGGGGGTGGTGTGGAACATGGCAGGCATTGGCAACACGACGCTGGCAGCGGGCAGCAGTGGAGGCGCTGCCAGCCCTGATGGGCCTCCGACAAGAGCAGGACCGTGGCAGGATGGTGGAGCAGATTAGCGGGTGGCGCCAGGCCAGGCAGGGGTGAGTGGGCCCCGAATGCCCCACAGACAGTGACTAGCGGTGGTGGAGGGCCCGATGACTTAGGGGAAGGGGGCATACAGGAGCCTGGGTGCTGCCCAAAGCCCAGAGGTCAGCTGGGACCTGCCCTTCCACGCCAGATGCTTGCATTTCGATCGCCGGCCAGGCCTAGGGACTGCACCCATGCACAAATTTCATGCACTGGGCTTCTAGTTATTCCATAAATTAGAAAAGTATACATACATATAAATATTAATATGTAGATACACATTTTAATATAATTCCTCCAAATAGTGAAAATTCTTGGCAATTCATCACATTGTCTACATCAGTGATGGCGAACCTATGACACACGTGTCAGAGGTGACACACGAACTCATTTTTTTGGTTGATTTTTCTTTGTTAAATGGCATTTAAATATATAAAATAAATATCAAAAATATAAGTCTTTGTTTTACTATGGTTGCAAATATCAAAAAATTTCTCTATGTGACACGGCATGAGAGTTAAGTTAGGGTTTTTCAAAATGCTGACACGCCGAGCTCAAAAGGTTCACCATCACTGGTCTACACAATTTCAACCATTTCAACTTAAGAGTGAACACATAGTATCCATTATTATTAACTAACTAGAGGCCTGGTGATGAATTCGTGCACGGGTGGGGTCTGGCCCGATTGGGCCAGAGGGAGGGGACGCAGGAGGTTGGCCAGCTGGCCTGTCCCCTGGTCAAACTCCCAGTCGAGGGGACAATTTGCATATTCGCCTTTTATTATATAGAAATTATTTCACTTTTGGAGTTTCCACACCATCTTAAGTTAAATTTTACAACCAACTTACCGAAGTTTTGATTCTTAGATCCTTTGGAGGGAGTTTTAAAGTCTTTTTCCAGTCATCACCAGGTCTAGAGAGAATGTAGTAAAATTGAAGTATCAGAATTCATAGCATCATATTCTAATACAAAGATAATTCATCTCAATTATAATTAAGTTATAAAAAGCACAGTAAGTTTAATACATTGCCATTTACTTAAGAATATAGTTAACAGCTCTGGCCCGTGTGGCCCAACTGGTTGGAGAGCATCATCTCACACACCAAAAGGTGGTGGGTTCAATTTCTGGTTGGGTGCCTGTGGGAGGCAACAGATCAATGTCTCTCTTGCATCAATATTTCTCCCCTACCGCCCCCTCTAGAATCAATAAAAAAAATCTAATATGTATATATAAAGAATATAGTTTAACAGAGATAAACATATCATGTATGTGTTTTAAGCTAGTTACCAATATTAAAAAATTAGAAGATTTTGTGTAAAAGTCCAGATTCTGGCTTTTCCTGTAAAACTGGAAGCTTTAGCAACATTGGTTCCAAATTTCTGCACGGTGATAGTTCGACAGAGCTTGGTAACTGAGTTAAAAATCAAGCAGCTGACCCTTTAAAGAGGGCAAGTATCTTCTCATCTGGCACAGGCATCTGAGTTGGTAACTTCTGGATACTAGTTAAACCAAGGACTCCAGCCCAGTTGGCATGGCTCAGTGGTTGAGCATCCACCTATGAACCAGGAGGTCATGGTTTGATTCCCAGTCAGGGCACATGCCTCGGTGCGGGCTCAATTCCTAGCGTGGGTCGTGCAGGAGGCAGCCGATCAATGATTTTCTCTCACCATTAATGTTTCTTTCTCTCTCTCCCTCTTCCTCTATGAATTAAAACAAAATACACATAAAAAAACCACACCAGACTCCAAAGTTTCACCCCTGACCCCACCACTTATTTTTTGACTGTGCAGCAGTTACTTTTCCAAGTTTCCATTGTCATATATACAACGGGTTAAGAATTATACAAGGCCCTGACCGGTTTGGCTCGCTGGATAGAGCATCGGCCTGCAGACTGAAGGGTCCCAGGTTTGATTCCGGTCAAGGGCATGTGCCTGGGTTGTGGGCTCGATCCCCAGTGGGGGCTTGCACGAGGCAGCCGATCAATGATTCTCTCTCATCATTGATGTTTCTATCTCTCTCTCCCTCTTCCTACCTCTCTGAAATCAGTAAAAACACATTTTTTTAAAAAAGAATTAGATAATTTACATAAAGCAATCAGCACAGTGTTGGGCTCGGTCCCCGGTGGGGGAGGCCTGCGGGGGGGACGGCCAATTGGTGATTCTCTCTGACACTCATGTTTCTGTCTCTCCTTCCTCTGAAATCAATAAAAATATAAAAACAAAAAACTCCTTTAAAAAAAAAAGAAAAAAGAAAAAAAAGAACTCAATATTATCTGTTAATGAACATCTCTCTTAATCTTTTTTACCAGCTATGCTTTAAACCAATGGTTGCCAACCTTTCAAACCTCGTGGACCACCGGTTGGCGACCGCTGCTCCAAAGGTTTCCTTAAACCAGTGGTTGGTGACTGCTGCTTTAAAGTATGAAAACAGTTAAAACACAAGGAAAATATAATTTTTTATTTTTTTTATTTTTTATTTTTTTTTTAATATATTTTATTGATTTTCTACAGAGAAGAAGGGAGAGGGATAGAAAGTCAGAAACATCGATGAGAGAGATCGATCAGCTGCCTCCTGCACTCCCCCCAGTGGGGACGTGCCCGCAACCACGGTACATGCCCTTGACCGGAATCGAACCCGGGACCCTTGAGTCCGCAGGCCGACGCTCTATCCACTGAGCCAAACCGGTTCGGCGGAAAATATAATTTTTTAAATCTCTTTTAGGTCAGGCAAAAACCTCTACTATAATATCCAAAGCATCTAATAGAAAAAAAAATTGGCAATAAGGCAAACAGTACTTTTCAACAGCGTTGTCTTTAAAATAAATAAGTTTTGCCCTGGCTGGTTTCGCTCAGTGGATAGAACGTCGGACTGTGGACTGAAGGTTCCTGGGTTCGATTCCGGTCAAGGGCACATGCCCGGGTTGCAGGCTTGATCCCCAGTAGAGGGTGTGCAAGAGGCAGCCAATCAATGAGTCTCTGTCATCACTGATGCTTCTATCTCTCTCTCCCTCTCCCCTCCTCTCTGAAATAAATAAAAATAAGAAAATATATTTTTTAAAAATAAGTTTTGCCCTGGCTGGTGTGGTTCAGTGGTCAGAGCTTCACTCCAGGGGTCACTTGTTTGATTTCTGGTCAAGGGCACATACTGGATTAGGGGTTCACTCGCCATCTCTGGTAGGGGCGTGTGCTAGAGGCAACCAATCGACTGATGTTTCTCTTTCTCTCTCCCTCTCTCCCTCTCACCCTCCCTCCTTTCCACTCTCTAATAGCAATGGGGGGAAAACATATGTAATAATACGTTTTCATTATAGCCACTCATAATCAGAGCCTCCAAAACATTTCGAGTCTTGATTTAGAAAGATGAACCCTTATTTTACTTAAAGCTAGGCCCCACATAATCAAAGACACTCTAACAAAGGCAACTATTTGCTACCACTTCCAAGGGTATGAAAGCCTTCTACCTCAACCTACACCACAGCAGTTTCTAAGCAAAAACCGTCACCTGAACATCCTAGCAGGCCAGCCTACCACACTGTCAAATTCAACAGTGAATAAAAGCACAGAGGGTACAATGCAAAATCTGTCCACAAGGAATTTATAAACCAAACTACTTAAAATAAGAAAATAGTGATAGCACTAAGTATTAGAAGAGTTCTGAACAGCTGATGGGATCTAGAAGCCTTCATGGAAGAGATGACACTTGAACTATGATTTAAAGAAGCCAAAGAATTGAAAAGAAACCATTAACCCTAGGAAAAGCAAAAGTAAAGTCCACTGTTGTCACTAATTAGAATTTAAGTAGAAAACACTCCCATAATAAAATAACATAGATTTACGTTTCTGTTTTTAAGGAATAAAAATAGCCTAAATTTTGCTAGCCTATTCATAGTTTATCAAGACAAACTACAATTCAGAAAATATTCTAATTAAAGCATTCACCTTAAAAATAATAGAATATGCATTAATGACAATTCTCCCAGTGACCAAATCAATTCTATTGGAAATTCTTATAGGTCCCTAGTGAACCACATAGCAGGGACCATCTATATGATATGCTGGTATCTTACAGAAGCTATTTTTCTTTAGGGAGTGAGTCTTAAGCATGAAAGAATCTGGATTATAACACAAAATACTTTAGTTCAGTGAACCCGTTTCATCATCTTAGAAGATTTCTAGAAGTTAAATCAACTATATGGCTAGATTCTTAACAAAGCCAAACCTCAAATGGGTCAAGTTTAAATGTTAATTTTCTATTAACTGAATCTTCAGAGCGATATTTACCATTCAAATAATGTATAGTGAACACTTAAAAAATGGCAGCCTACAATCTTCCAGATTTCAAAGAAAACACATTCTGTAGTCAGATGAGGCTCTTAAATTTTTAGTCAACTAGGGGAATTGGGGCTATTCAGAGATGTGTTTCCCAGAGTTCAAAATCCTGAGATTCTATGATATTTGACTGCGTGTTATTTTGTGTGTGTGTGTGTGTGTGTGTGTGTGTGTGTGTGTAACAGGAGAAAGCTTATAAAACAAAAAATTTTAAGCAAAGTCGCATGAACTGAAAAAAAAAGTTATGGGTAAATTTTTATGAGTACATTTGGAAGTAAGAAGGCTGGGCAAGTCCTTAAATTTGAAACTTGAAATTGACTTTAAATGTCATTTAAACTAGGATATACAGTTATACTATGGAAAAATCATACTGACAAAAATAAGATGAATCTGAGCTAATTATGAAAACTATCAATGTTTAAAATAGAACCTATACAAAATTAATATATATCATCTGTACCTATATTCATTACTTAATAAACCCCCATTAGTTATGACAGAAATACATTATTCTATTGCAAATACCTACTGGCCATAAAACAAAGTCATCTGTCCTCTGCAATCAAAACGGTTAAAGTATACATAGAGTAGTCCTTAACAAAGTAATAGAAAGAAATCTCCTTGGTCCCCCCACGTACGTTTATTTGTTCTCACACTTACTTAATAGTGGTGGTCATACTCTGTGCTTGCTGCTGAGTGCCATTATTGATTGTGTTGGTGTTTTTCAGTTGGTTCATCTGTTGCTGTGTTGGTGTGCCCCCTCCTCCGGGGCCACCACTGGGCTTCACAGGGCCCCTCAGCTGACCATTTTGACTGGATAGACCCATTATAACAGGGTTCTCTGTTCTGGCCGTGCTCATGCTGTATTAAATGTACAGATGTCTCTTCCAAACTTCAAAACTTTTGAAAGTCAGTAGAGAAACTGTAATACAGTTTATTAGGCTCTCCAAAATGAAGAGATAAATATAAGTCTTGCTCAATATTGAGTCCTTTATTGCAATGCAGGCAAGCACCTGTAAGTCTCTGAATAGTAAGCAGCAGTAACTTGCTCTCATGCACCGAATCAACTTTTTATATTTTTAAAGGCTCTCTAACGAGGTTTGGTTATATATCTGAATTCACTCACTTCAATCTGAAACAAAGAAAAAGTTAAGTTAGCAAACACAGGAAGGTTATAAAAAACTGTTTCCCCTAACACTTTTTTAAAAATTAAGAATACAACTGCACTTAGATCGCATCATTAGCCAGGCTAATAGAGACACAAAAAGATGAACTGCACACAAAACCAAACCCACAATGAAATCAATCTCAAACATTTTAAATTGTCAGTTCAAAGCAACCCAAAGAATACTAGTATAAAGATACTGTAATTAAATTTGCAATAGTTCGCAAATGACAATCTCTTCCCTTCAGTTTCCTCCCTGAATGTTCTAAAAGTCAATGATTCATTCCACTTAATTGCATCACAACTCCAATAAGTATCTCACAACTTAACTATAGTAAATCTACATATGTACAAAGCAAGACAAATTTCTTCTATTTCTGACAGCAACTGAGAATCCTCCAAGAGCTTTATAAGCTTTTGACTTAACTTTATGCTTTTAGAAATATAAAACCCATTTGTAACCTTATGAATTTCAAGTGTAGAAATTAAACTTTGTGAAGAAAAATGCATTTTCCTTAAGTTCTTATCCTTTAAAACAGTAGCTGAAGCGGAATATAGACATGTCTACATGTCAAAATCTTTTGCTTGAAAACAGCCAAGAATTTGAATACTAAAAAACTGTTAGCCGGGCTGGTGTGGCTCAGTTGTTGAGCGCGGCATCAGAACCAGAAGGTCATGATTCAATCAATTCGTGTCCCAGGCACATGCTAGCGCTGGGGCTGATCCCCAGTAGAGGGCTTGCAGGAACAGCCTTTTGATTTTCATTATTGATGCTTCTCTCCCTTTCCCTTCCTTTCTGAAATCTATAAAAAATATATAAAGTGGTTAACTTCCTCCATTTTTAATTATTCCCAAAACCGAATGCATATTTTAAAATGGAGTGAATAAAAACTCTACAAAGGCCAGACAGAAAGTAAATGCCTACTCTGTTGGGTTTGTTCCTTTTTACCTCCTTTACATTCCTTACCCAAAATACACAAGCTTATTAATTAGTGTTGTTTTTGTCATATACCACGGCTTCTCAAACAACATTTTTCTAAAATACTTATGCCTTAAAAAAAGAAAGAAAAGTTGCTCACAAGCAAATCCTGATGATCACAAACACAAAGAGGTATTATTTCAAAGTCTCCCAGAATCTGATTCACTTCTTAGGCAGATGGTGGTTAACAGTTACCTAGTTTCTGTTCCAGGCAGTGAATGGTATCCTACATTGACAGGTTGCTATTATGATCAACAATATCAGTAGTTCGCACTGAAAACGTGTCTGCGAAGTACTGAGAGGATGAAGAGGGCAACTTCCAAAGACTAAGTGTGATCATTACCACCCATCATGGATGTGAAAGATTTCAGATCCAAGTGTGCGAACTGCGTCCCCTTAAATAAAACTGAAACTTGCACTGAGCACCGTCTCAGAAACGGAAATGTTCCTCCTACCCCTTCCCAGCTTCGATTTGCAACATTTTCAAAAGTTCGAAGGAAACGTGGACTGGCCGGGAGGAGCCCACGCCGAGCTGATTACAGCACTTCCCGGCTGTGGCTGGCAATTGACAGTTTTCTCCCCAAACACGCCCGTCGTCCCCGACGCAGGCTCCCCGAGGCGGCCTGCGAGCCGCACCGACGGGTTTCTCCGTGAAGAGGGGAAAGGGGGGTCAGCAAGCAGGAAGGAAAGACACGAGCCAAGGATGTGAGCCCCGTCTTTGTAAGAGAATAATTCAATTATTTCTTGCTCTCCCCGTCCCCCTCCCCGAAACACCCACAGCCCAAGTCAGCGCCCTGTGAACATAAACACAAAAGGTTGGGGCCCCGCAATCCTATCTGCGCAACAAGCGCAGGGACCGAACCAGCTCCGTGGGTAGGAAACAATATGGAGTTGCCTGAGGCCCCAAAGAGAAACCTTAGCCAAAAGCCCCGCTTCCTCCACGACTCGGGGGCGCCAGCACCCCCCTCTCGCTACGACCCACAAGGCCCGAGTCCAGTCCAGCAGCTGCCGGTCCCTTCCCCGCCGAGCCCTCGGCACTGCACCCCCGCCGCCCCCGGAGGCTGCCTCGTACCCGGTCACCTCCACCGCGGCCCGGGGTCCTGCCGCCCCACGACCCTCGTTCCCCCGCTCCTGGAAAGCGCCTCCGAACCCGTGGCCCGCTCCTTCCACGGACCCCGCCGCACGACATCCGTACCCGACTCCTCTCAGGCGCCCGACCCACAGCTGCCGCCTGCCTTCCTCCCCTGGGCCCGTCCAGGCCTCAGGCCGCCGCCTCTGGGCGCCCCACGCCGGCGACGGCCTCCCCGCAGCCCCGACTGCGCCGCCGACCTTGCCCCCGCCCTTCACCCAACTCCCCGGCTCGGCCCGAGTCCTACCGCCGAGGCCGCTCCGCTCGCACCCTCGGCCCTTTATTGTTGACTCGAAGCTCCCAAAATGGCGGCGCTCCTTCCACCTCGGCTCCAGCGCCCGCCCCGCCCGCCGCGCCGCCGCCGGCCCCGCCCCGCGCCGCCGCCGGCCCGCCCGCGCCGCCCGCCCCGCGCCGCCCGCGCCGCCCCGCCCCGCGCCGCCCCGCCCGGCCAGCCCTCAGGCCCCGCCCCGCGCCGCCCCGCCCGGCCAGCCCTCAGGCCCCGCCCCGCGCCGCCGCAGGCCCCGCCCCGCCCGGCCCGGCCAGCCCCCAGGCTCCGCCCCGCGCCGCCCCGCCCGGCCAGCCCTCAGGCCCCGCCCCGCGCCGCCCCGCCCGGCCAGCCCTCAGGCCCCGCCCCGCGCCGCCCCGCCCGGCCAGCCCCCAGGCTCCGCCCCGCGTCCCCGGTCCCGCCCCCTGGCCGGGCCCAGCGCCGTTGCCGCGTCCCAGGTCTGCGGCTCTAGTTCCGCCGCTGCCCACACTGCGGCCGCCGCCGAAGTCTCCAGTGGCCGCTTCGCTCCGGCGCCCGGCCTGCCCCGCCGCCCCCCGCCTCACTCCTGTGGCCCCCGCATGGCGGTGGCTCCTCCACGCAAGATGGCGAGCGCTCGGGCGCCGCTGCCCCGTCGCCCCGGCCTCCCGGCTCCCCGGCAGGGGTCGGCGGGGCAGCGACTCCCTGCGGAGAACGCGGGGCCGTGCTCACCCCGTCGGCCGCGGACGCCGGGCTTGGAGAGGGGGTGCGGCTGCTCCCCGAGAGGAGGGAGGGCTGCCTTTCCCACCGGGGGGCTGCGGCCCGCAAGTGTTCTCCCTGCCTTCGCCCCAGCGGCCCCGAGGTGGTGACCGAGGAGGACCTGCACCTCCTGCCCCCGGAGGCTCTGAGAGGGGCCTCCCGGGCCACGGCTCGGGCCGCGTCGTCCGGGGGCGCCTCGGAGAAAGGCGCCGGGAAGCTGCGGGAGCCAGTTTTCCTGGAATAAGTTGTGCAGGGAAAGGGGTTCCGGCCTGACCCTCACCAGAAGGGTTTTATGTGTTTGTCCCCAGAAGTACTTTTCATATCTCAATGTCCCCGCTAACCCTTAACAGAAATAGCAAGAAAGCTAGGTTGTTCCAGACAAAACAGAAATTGAGGCTGGAAAGCTAGGTCAGGGGCAGAAAAGCCTGGCTCGCCCCGCTGCGACCGAACGCCCAGGACAGCGGCCAGGCCAGGTGACACATCTGCAGCGCCCAGCGGGGAAGTGAAACCACCGCCGCTGCAGGAATCCGCCCGATGGGCAGCGATGGTCTGACCGCCAGCTTCCCTCCTTTCGGCTGCTGCTTCCAACTCATCAAAGTCAAATGGGTTCCCCAAATCAGTCACACAAGGTGCCCTCTAACAGTCCGCCTCCAGCTTCCCTATGCCAACAACACCCTCCAATCTGTTCTCTTCGTTGGTCTTTATATGCACACAACCAATAGAAATGTGATAGAGAAGTGTGAAAAGGCTGTTCTTGAGATTAAAAAGAAGATTCCCCTTACACTTTTTAAAATGCTTCATTTGTAGCATGTCATCTCCCACCCAGATTTTAAAACACTCATGTGAGGAAATAACCCTACACCTTGTGCCCATCCTGGAGAGAGGTGGCTTAATAAATGGTTACTTAATAAAATGTAACAATGTGCCGAAACCGGTTTGGCTCAGTGGATGGAGCGTCGGCCTGCAGACTGAAGGGTCCCAGGTTCGATTCCGGTCAAGGGCATGTGCCTGGCTTGCGGGCACATCCCCAGTGGGAGGTGTGCAGGAGGCAGCTGATGGATGCTTCTCTTTCATGGATGGTTCTAGCTCTCTATCTCTCTCCCTTCCTCTCTGTAGAAAATTAATAAAATATATATTTTTTTAAAAAAGGATAGTGTTCTTAGTTGACACTTTAAAAAAAAAAAAAAGTAACAATGTGAGACCTTTGTTTGCCTCACTGTCTTTCCAAGTAGCATGAATGTTAAGAGGAAACGAGCCTAAAGATTTGAAACTGTGGGGTTTCTCCCTATACAGCAGCGGTTCTCAACCTGTGGGTCGCGACCCCTTTGGGGGTCGAATGACCCTTTCACAGGGTCGCCTAAGACCATCAGAAAACACATATATAATTACATATTGTTTTTGTGATTAATCACTATGCTTTAATTATGTTCAATTTGTAACAATGAAAATACATCCTGCATATCAGATATTTACATGATGATTCATAATAGTAGCAAAATTACAGTTACGAAGTAGCAACGAAAATAATTTTATGGTTGGGGGTCACCACAACATGAGGAACTGTATTAAAGGGTCGCTGCATTAGGAAGGTTGAGACCACTGCTATACAGCCAAAAAATGAGGCCAGGCGAAGGAAAGGGGTTTGCTTCATAAATAAACTTACCTTCCATAGGGGCTTGGCTGAAGTCCTGACAAAACAAAAGTGAGGAAGCAGCCAGAAGTAAAATATGAAATAGCTGCCCATTTTTACCTGGGAATCCTGTTACGGCTAAAACTTTAAAAGAGTCTGTATAATGTCTTGTAAGATAGTCAGATATCCTTATAACTTTATTAGAGGCCTGGTGCACAAAAATTCTTGCACTTGGGGAGGGGGTGAGGTGTCCCTCAGCCTGGCCTGCACCCTCTCACAGTCTGAGAGCCCTTGGGGGATGTCCACCTGCCAGCTTAGGTCTGCTCCCAGGGGAATCAGGCCTAAGCTGGCAGTCAGACATCCCTCTGGCAGCCAGGGAGCCCTTAGGGGATGTCCAAATGCTGCAGAGTCAGGAGAGGCTCCCACCACCTCAGCTGTGCTCGAAGCTGTCAGCCTGGCTTGTGGCTGAGTAGAGCTCCCCCTGTGAAAGTGCATTGACCACCAAGGGCAGCTCCTGCTTGAGCATCTGCCCCCTGGTGGTCAGTGTGTGTCACAGTGACCAGTTGTTCCCTGTTGTTCTGCTGTTAGGGTCAATTTGCATATTACCTTTTATTATATAGGATGTCAGCCCTTTTCAGTTTCCTGATGAGAAGCATAGACAGTATAGAATTAAGCTATGCACTCCTTGGGTTAGCAGGGTTCAATTTGAGTAGTTGATATGTCTGATCCAACTACCATATCTCAATACTTTTCCCCCCTCCCTAGTTCAAACAGATTAACAAGAATCATAGAAAATATGACATTTTAGGAATATAGATGAATTATTTGATAATGCATTATTTTTATAGTGAAATGTATGTTTTAAAAACACTATGTAAATCCAATCCTTTGGCCTTTTAGTTAATATTGAATATAATTGTTTGGGTGGTCTGTGGTAAATACGGTTTTGGAGGGTGTGCTATACCCAGTGAGTCACCTATTTATTGTAACAAAGTGCTTCCCAAGATGTATTAGCCGTGTTCATTTGGTTTGTAGTCACTCTCACTTTCCTCCTACCCTACGTTTTGAATTTTGAACTATAAAACTGTTAGCTAAAGTATTAGGCCTGGATTGTTGGCTGGCTCTAGAGAATCTATCTGTAGAAAAGATATTTTAAAAAAGAGAATCTGTCTGTAGAAAAGATTCAAAAATAAAATTGAGGTTTTCAGTGTCTTTATTTATAACACAATAGGATTTCTTTCTTTCTTTTTTTTTTCTTAAAGAATGAGATGCAACTAAAAAATGCTACTTGGAATTCAATCACAAGAATGGGTCCTCCTAGCAAGCATTATTTGCCAGTCTCACATCCTATTTACCTAAAAATAACCAGAAAAAAATCACATTAATTTTAAATCACTTGATTTCATTTTAACTTCAATTTAAAATATTTAGAATCTAGAATTCCAAGTAATTTGAAGTTGGATATCTTTATAGCTATGATACTATTTTTTAAAAATATATTTTTATTGATTTCAGGGAGGAAAGGAGAGAGAGAGAGAGAGAGAGAGAGAGAGAGAGAGAGAGAGAGAGAGAAACATCAATGATGAGAGAGAGAATCATTGACCGCTGCCTTCAGCTCACCCCCTACTGGGGATCGAGACTGCAGCCCCCACATGTGCACTTGACCAGAATTGAATCTGGGACTCTTCAGTCAGCAGGCTGACACTCTATCCACTAAGCCAAACCGGCGCAGTGGTTCCCAACCTTCTGGCCCTTTAAGTACAGTTCCTCATGTTGTGACCCAACCGTAAAATTATTTTCATTGCTACTTCATAACTGTAATGTTGCTACTGTTATGAATCATAATGTAAATATCTGATATGCAGGATGGTCTTAGGTGACCCCTGTGAAAGGGTCATTCGACTGCTAAAGGGGTCGCGATCCACAGGTTGAGAACCACTGGGCTAGGGCTATGATACTCTTAAAACTCAAATGTTTTTTGTTTGTTTTTTCACATTCTAGGTCACAACGTACATAACATTTATTTCATACATTTTCCTCCTCTTCAATTTAAAAAAAAAAATATATATATATATATATATATATATATTATTGATTTCAGAGAGGAAGGGAGAGGGAAAGAGAGATAGAAACATCAATGATGAGAGAGAATCATTGATTGGCTGCCTCCTGCATGCCCCCTACTGGGACCAAGCCCACAACCCAGGCATGTGCCCTTGACCAGAATTGAACCCGGGACCCTTCAGTCCACAGGTTGACACTCTATCCACTGAGCCAAACCAGCTAGGGCCTCAAATGTTTTTAACATGCTAAAATGGATTTCACACTTTTAACTTTCTATAAAACTTTTTAAGGAAACATAATAGCTTTTATTTTCAAACTCAATAAGCAAATATGTTCATTACTTAAGAAAAAAGATTTGCCCATACCATCTATAATAATAAAAGTGTAATATGCTAATTAGACTGGACAGCCGAACAACCTTTCAGATGTCCTTCCCGACAACCTTCCTGATGAAGCTGGGGCTGCGAGGGCTGGGCCCCTTGCATGAATTTCATGCATCGGGCCTCTAGTCCTATATAATAAAAGCCTAATATGCAAATCAACTGAATGGCAGAATGACTGGTTGCTATGATGCACCCTGACCAACCAGGGGGCAGACACTCAACGCAGGAGCTGCCCCCAGCCCACAGGCTCCAGGCCAGCCAAGGTGGGTGCCAGCAGGCCTCT